AACTACGTATCCATGCTACGGGTGGCGTCATAAGGGATTTGACGTCACAAGTGAGTCATGCCTGGAATTTAATGGGTCAGTATGACCCACAAATGGGGCAAGTGAGTCAAAAAAAGTGCATCGATTTTCGGACGCGGTTGACTCATCAAAGTGGGTCATCCAGACCCGCCCATTTCTCTCAGTGTACCGTTAGATAGCGCACTAATACTGATAAGATATATTGCATTATATATTACAATAACACATCCCCGGCACCTAAAGACATGGATAATAGCTATTACATTAAATATTGATACTAGACATTGCAACCCCCGGCACCTGAAGACATGTATGTTGCCGTTGTCTGCGGCGGCGGCGACGCATTGCTGCGCGGCGCTGGCGGCGAGACAGCGCACCGACGCCCCCAGCCTCCCGTACACACCGCGCGACCTGGTACAATAATTACTATTGTACTTCATTTCATACTTAATTCCATCCATATTTTATCATTATTTCAAGATTATTATGTGTTTTGCGCGACCTGGTACAATAATTATTCTGGTACTTCATTTTATACTTAATTCCATCCATATTCTATCATTATTTCAACGTTATTTTATAGTTGATTCTATCCATAACGACACCAGCCTCCCGTACACCCCGCGCGACCTGGTACAATAATTATTATTGTACTTTATTTCATACTTAATTCCATCCATATTTGATCATTTTTCAACATTTTTATGTGTTTTGCGGGACATGGTACATAAAATAATTCTCACTGTACTTCAACTTTATTTTATACTTGATTCCATCCACATTTTATCATTTTTTTAACATTTTTATGTGTTTTGCGGGACCTGGTACATAAAAAAATTTTTAAGTGCATTCAAACTTTATTTTATACTTAAGTCTATCCACATTTCATTATTTTTTGAACATTACTATGTCTTTTGCGGGGCCTGGTACATGAAATAATTCTCACTGTATATCAACTTTATTTCATACTTAATTCCATCAGAATTTTATCATTTTTTCAACATTACTATGTGTTTTATGGAAACTGGTACATAAAATAATTCTTATTGTATTTGAACTTTATTTCATACTTATTTCCATCCCCATTTCATCATAATTATGTGTTGTGGATGTAGGATTTATATGTATTATGTATTTTTATAATATAAAAATATAAATTATGATATAAATATTTATTATTAATGAATTATAATGAAAAATAATTGATCGCCCGGTAGAGCGCCGATGATGAATAATGTTGCATAGAGCAAATATAATGCATCATAATCATTAAAACAATTAGCTAATAACTTTAGCAACAACTATTGCAACATCGAGATACATATTTTAATTTAATAAATTTTTAAATTGAAATCTCTCACGGAAACTTTATGCTACTAAACAATAATAACTCGATACCTACACACGTTTTAACTGTAACAGAATTAACATATATCATAAGAATATCAACGTTCTCTAAAATAATCAGTCTTCATCACAGAAATATTATAAAATTACAAATCAAAACATCCCATTCAGTGTATTGTGGAAAGCAATAGACTGAATATTCAATAAACAATTGTGGTACAGAAAATGGGTAAGTTTACTTTTATGAATAACTTTTGACTTTAGGAGTGGTAGTATTAAAAGAACGGGACGAATGAATCTGAGCAAAAAACATGTGAATGATTTACATAATTTACACTGTTATTAGTTGGCACGTAGACAAATGAATGTGTCATTGTTGAAATAGTGACACACTCTCTTCCCCACAACACAATTAGAGGGCACAATAAACACAACCCTCACGCCGGCTAAATTGAGTCAGGATGACCTACATAACCGCAATAAAAAATGCATCACTATTAGGACGGCGTGTCACTCATTTCACTAAGTGGGTCACGTGTACCCACCNGGTCAGGCAATACAAGTGGGTCAGGCAATACAAGTGGGTCAGGCAATACAAGTGGGTCAGGCAATACAAGTGGGTCAGGCAATACAAGTGGATCAGGCAATACAAGTGGATCAGGCAATACAAGTGGGTCAGGCAATACAAGTGGGTCAGGCAATACAAGTGGGTCAGGCAATATCAGCACGCACAGCCTGGAAAAAATCACATTGCGACATTTGCACTAAGAAAAATAAAATGGTTATTTCGTCCGACTAGTTACACACTTTTTAGCACACAGCACCAACAGAGAGCAGACGTATCACTGATACGTGCTTGTGCAGGGCTAAAAGATGCATCATTAAAATTTCATTAGTCTTTATTCATCATTATAATTATTACAAAAAAAAATGCTAGAGGATTAATTCATTATTATGATTATAGTATAATCTTATATCTATAATAGGATTATAGCATAATCTTCTATCTACACATACTATTAGGGTTATACCAGCATTTTAATTGGTATCTTCTGAACTAGATATATAAATATAAATATCTAAATCCATTAATAGGCCTATATCATCATCTCACTTCATCATTACCATAATAGAATTTGATGTTATTCATTAATAAGACACTATAAAGATCTTAACCCATCATCAAGCTACAATTATCATGATTAACACTAAACTATTGATATAACTCATTATCAAGACACTAAAAAGATCTTAACCATTATTAAGCTCGTGTAATTATAATCGTAATTCATCATTATCATTACAGAATTTGATATTATTCATTATCAAGACACTATGCAGATCTTAACCCCCCTATTAATTAAGCAACAATAATCATGATTAAGTATAAAGCAAGGCAGACCTGTGCACCCTAGCGGTGTGTTCGTGTAGGTGCGATATCAAGACACCAGCTGGTGCCCAGACCTGCCCAGCTGGTGTAGAGGCAGGAGGTCTACCAGCTGGTGTAGAGGTAGAAGATCTACCAGCTGGTGTAGAGGTAGAAGATCTACCAGCTGGTGTAGGTCTACGGGCACGCAGCTGGTGCAGGCGACGGCGAGTCTTCACCACCTGCCGTAGTGCCATCTCGCTGCCAGATGGTACAGCTACACAACATAAACAAATTATATGTAACCGCAGTGATGAATAAGAAATTTTTTATAAGATGAGTTACAATACTGTACAAAAACTAGCAGTTGCTGTAGCAGCAAGTTACAGCTCAGTTACAATACTGTACTGAAACTAGCAGTAGCTGTAGCAGCAAGTTACAGCTCAGTTACAATACTGTACTGAAACTTGCAGTTGCTTTATACGTATGTTGAACCAGACCTCACCAATGAGGAATTGATGTACGACAATTTTAATGTAGTTCACCCCTAAATTGTAGTTTTAATATAAAATTTCATGTAAGAAATTGGCATTGTCTCATTACACCGGCAAAGATTGCAGTTCTTTAACAGCATCTTATTCCTATTATTCTAACAGCATTTTAGGATGAGTTGGACATTAATTACTTTACATATTTATCAATATAATAGCTTTGATGTTTGAACATGAAGTTAACTAGGAACACGTTGCTCAAAACTGTAGAAATTGGCAGTGGTGACGTAAGAAGTGAATATTTTTCCAATGAAAAAATGATTCAGCAAAAACCCAAACAATAAAAAAATTAAATAAAGGAAAATAATTTTGCATTTAGTGCTACAAAATGGACGTGCCAATAGGAAGCAGTTGCTGAAACGGGTAACAAACAAAAAAACAAAACAAAAAATGCAAACAAAACGAAAACCATAACAAAAAATGCGTCGCAGAAGCAAACCCACAAAAAATAAAACCGAAAATTCTTAAATTTGGAAGAATATTTCGAAGTGAAAAATTCACAATTGATGTGCCAAAGCGGCAATTGCTGAAACACGAATTTTCAAAAAAAAATAAATAAATAAAATAAAAATGCTCATCAAACACAAAAACGCAAACAATAAAACCAATAATTTTTAAATTAAAAAAAACATTTATCAAACAATAAAATCAATAATTTTTAATCATAAAAAATGCTCATAAAACACAAAAACGCAGACAATAAAACCATTATTTCTTAAATTAAAAAAAACATTTATCAAACAATAAAATCAATAATTTTTAAATTAAAAAAAAACATTTATCACTATAGACTTCAAAGTAAACATACCGACGTTGTCAGGAGCGGCGGCCGCGGCTCTCTGGGCCGCAGGGAACGAGTCCACTCTGGCCACACAACAGACAAAAAAATTATTGTGTCATTCTGTCTAAATAATGACAAACTTTCAGCCCGTACCTCTGATACCTTCTCATTGTAGTCAGGGCATGCTAAGCGTACATATAGTATAAGTGGTATAGTATATATAGTACATAAGTAGTATAGTATTTATAGTATAGTATATGGTATAGTATAAGTATATGTATAGTATAACTAGTATAGTATTTATGGTTTAAGTAATATACTATATATAGAATAAGTAGTATAGTATTTATAGTATAATTAGTACAGTATATATAGTATATAAGTTGGCGTGACGTAAAGACTTTTCAAGAGCAAATTCCAAGTCCCAATCAATACAATAAAATAAAGGCAGAAAGATGAATTGAACGCGAGGGCGAATCTTAAGTGTAATGCAAATTCCTTTCGAAAGTAACATAATAATTGAACGTTTATATATATTTAACGGGAAATAATATAATATAGCCCACTAATAACAGCTCGAGTGGCCCACTAATAACAGCTCGAGTGGCCCACTAATAACAGCTCGAGTGGCCCACTAATAACAGCTTGAGTGGCCCACTAATAACAGCTTGAGTGGCCCACTAATAACAGCTCGAGTGGCCCACTAATAACAGCTCGAGTGGCCCACTAATAACAGCTCGAGTGGCCCACTAATAACAGCTAGAGTGGCCCACTAATAACAGCTCGAGTGGCCCACTAATAACAGCTCGAGTGGCCCACTAATAACAGCTAGAGTGGCCCACTAATATGAGTGGCCCCTTAATAACAGCTAGAGTGGCCCACTAATAACAGCTTGAGTGGCCCACTAATAACAGCTAGAGTGGCCCACTAATAACAGCTTGAGTGGCCCACTAATAACAGCTTGAGTGGCCCACTAATAACAGCTAGAGTGGCCCACTAATAACAGCTTGAGTGGCCCACCAATAACAGTAACCTACTCGGTGAGGGCAGAGGGGCCAGACGAGGGGCCGGTGCCCCCCGAGGGCGAGGGGGCGCTGCCGCCCTCCCCCGCCCCCATGCTCCCTGAGCGGCGGTGGGTGCTGTCAGGGAGAAGATACAATGTACACATTAGTACAGAGTATACAAACATACATAATAACACAGCTATACATCCATACAGAGTGTTACCGGACATGTTCCGCTACCTTTAATCTTGTCAGAATGATCGGAGCGCCACGGCCAAACGCCGGCAACTATCTTCTGAAAATTTTAATGATTTTTGCTAAAGCTAAATTGCACTGGGATGTCTTTCATTAAAACTTCGGTTAACACGGTAAAACTTGCCTTTTATTCCAGTAAAGAAAGCTTAAAAGCAACACGTTGAATAAAATAGTACAGCAAGCACGAGAGACATAACGCTGCTAGATGAAACACTTATACTTATAGCACAGCCACAGTAACTAGCGCTAGGGCACAAGATCTCTAGTGGAGCAACGGAGCGAGGTGAGTTAAGGCTAGAACCTCACTGTAGGGCTGGCGGGACACGACTGACTAACCGACTCACTGCCGCTCAGACCTGACTAAGCGACTCACTGCCGCTCAGACCTGACTAACCGACTCACAGCCGCTCAGACCTGACTAACCGACTCACTGCCGCTCAGACCTGCCTTGTACTACGTCGCTACCGCCCAAGTCCGACATAAATGTTACCTAGGCGGCTACGCTACAGAGTTTACAAACATACATGGTATCTAGCATATATATAAGTAGGAGTAGCAGAATGGTGGAGGAGTAGCAGGATGGTGCAGGAGTAGGAGGCTGTAGGAGCAGTAGGCAGCAAGAGTAGGCTGGAGGAACTGACCCAGGTAAGGCAGGAACATCATCACAGGAGAGCGAGTACCGCAGGATCTCAGGCGGGGCGCCGCGCCGGCACACCTCTGCACTCGCCACCTGAATCTGCACGCCCGGGGGAACTGATCTAATTATTTGTATTTAATCCAATTATTTTATTATATTATATATAATTATATATATTATAATTATTATCCAATTATAAAATTATATTCAATCCAATTATTTGTATTGATTTTAGGATTACCTTTGCTTCTGGATTAATTCAATTGGTTGGTTTTTGGATAAAGTTGATTAAATTTGATTTAATTGAAGGGTTTTTGGAAATTATTACAAAAGTCTTTGCCTGTTTTATGAAGTAATTGAAAAAATTGTACATGTCGTCAGTACAAATAACAGTACTTTATTTACAGGTATTTCACTATTTATTTATTGGCATAATTTAATCCACATCAGTAATGATAACGCCCCCGCCACACACCTCGCCCCTGTCGTCCAGGGACCCCCCGTCGCCCCCTGCAGCGCCCCCCTGGAGCGTGGCCCGGCGGTGGCTGTGGACCCCCAGCAAGTGNCAAGATGGCCTCACAGGCAAGTCTCACATTGTGGCCTCACCTTATCATCAGCTACGTGGCCAGTGGGGAGGCTGGCCTCAGTGTGGCCTCACCTTATCGTCGGAGGCGTGGCCGGTGGGGAGGCTGGCCTCAGTGTGGCCTCACCTTATCATCAGCTACGTGGCCAGTGGGGAGGCTGGCCTCAGTGTGGCCTCACCTTATCATCAGCTACGTGGCCAGTGGGGAGGCTGGCCTCAGTGTGGCCTCACCTTATCATCGGCAACGTGGCCGGTGGGGAGGCTGGCCTCACCTTATCATCGGAGGTGTGGCCGGTGGGGAGGCTGGCCTCAGTGTGGCCTCACCTTATCATCGGCGGCGTGGCCGGTGGGGAGGCTGGCCTCAAGATACTTGGTGAGGCTCAGCCTGGGGTGGTCGAGGCCATCCCTGAGCCTCTCGAGGGCCCCACGCAGGTCCGTGAAGCTGAGCAGCGTGCGCCACGCACGGCGCGGGATGCGTGCGCACAGCGCTGACATCACGCACAGCTTTGCGTCGTTAAATAAATTAATATTTCATAAATTTTGGGTTAGAGTTTATTTCATATATATTTCATAAATTTTGGGTTAGAGTTTATTTCATATATATTTCATAAATTTTGGGTTAGAGTTTAAATTAAAAAACTTGATCTATACTTGTCAGCGCTGACATCACGCACAGCTTTGCGTCGTTAAATAAATTAGTTCTTGTTGGTTGTTGTGTTGGTTCTTGTTAATTAATATTCGATAAATTTTGGGTCAGAGCTTAAAATTAAAAATTTAATCTGTACTCATTTGACTTTGATTTACGTCTGAAGATTAGGCTTAAACATTTAACCTAAGATTATGCGTCAACATTTAACCTAAAATTAATTAACCACGCCCTTGATCATTTTGATTTCTTTACAAAAAAATTTGAAAGGCGATGGTAGAGCGCAAAAATTTTGGGAAAGTCTAGCGCATCATGATCAAAAAATAGTCACGAGTTTGTAGCTTCGTCAGCCAATCACTGATGGTTTTCCAAGCTAAACCCACCAATGACATACGAGGAATTAGCAGTTATGTGTACTTAGGCCGCTACGTGTACTTGGGCCGCTACGTGTACTTGGGCCGCTACGTGTACTTGGGCCGCTACGTGTACATAGTATAGCTGCAAGTTTATGGTGATGAGTGGCCCACTAATAACAGCTCGAGTGGCCCACTAATAACAGATTGAGTGGCCCACTAATAACAGCTCGAGTGGCCCACTAATAACAGCTTGAGTGGCCCACTAATAACAGCTTGAGTGGCCCACTAATAACAGCAACCTACTCGGTGAGGGCGGAGGGGCCAGACGAGGGGCCGGGGCCCCCCGAGGGCGAGGGGGCGCTGCCGCCCTCCCCCGCCCCCATGCTCCCTGAGCGGCGGTGGGTGCTGCCGGGGAGCAAGTAAAATGTATACATTAATACAGAGTATACAAACACACATATTAACACAGCCATACATTAATACAGAGTATACAAGGTAACTGGCACACATATTAACACAGCCATACATTAATACAGGGTATACAAGGTAACTGACACACATATTAACACAGCTATACATCCATACAGGGTATACAAGGTAACTGGCACACATATTAACACAGCTATACATCCATACAGAGTATACAAGGCAACTGGCAGACATATTAACACAGCCATACATCCATACAGCGTATACATGGAAACTGGCAAACATATCAACACAGCCATACATCCAAACAGAGTATACATGATAACTGACACACATATTAACACAACTATACATCCATACAGAGAATACAATGTAACTGGCACACATATTAACACAGCTATACATCCATACAGAGAATACAAGGTAACTGGCACACATATCAACACAGCCATACATTAATACAGAGTATACAAGGTAACTGGCACACATTAACACAGCTATACATCCATACAGAGTATAAAAACATACATGTATGGTATCTGGCATAAATGTAAGTAGGAGTAGCAGGATGGTGTAGGAGTAGCAGGATGGTGTAGAAGTAGCAGGATGCTGTAGGAGTAGCAGGATGGCGTAGGAGTAGCAGGATGGT